ATAGCTTCTATCTTATCTTTCACTGGTTTGATAGAATTTTTATTGATGGTACGACCTAAATAATTAATTTGATGAACGGCTAATTCACATTTAGGTGGATTTAATATTAGATTTTTCTGTTGCAAAGCTGAAAAGACGGATTGAAGATGATCCAAATGATCAGAAAAAGATTTGGAAAAGACAACAATATCATCTAAGTAAACGAGAGAAAACTGACGACACGATTTCAAAGTCTCTGTCATAACTTTTTGAAAAGTAGGAGGAGAGTTTCGTAATCCCATCGGTAGAACGTTAAACTGATATAAGCCGAATGGGGTTATGAAAGCTGTTTTCTCTTTATCATTTTCATTAATCGGTATTTGATAAAAACCGGATTTCAGATCGAGTTTGGAGAAATAACTAAATCCTTTTCCTAATTTAAAGATTGTATCTTCCATATTGGGAAGAGGAGAAGAATCTTTGATAGTTATAGCATTTAATAGTCTATAATCTACTACAAATCGAAATGAATTATCTTTTTTCTTAACAAGTATCGCTGGTGCTGCATATGGCGAATTCGATTCTGAAATAAGACCAGCGTTCAAAAACTCTTGAATAAATTCGTACATCACTTCCTCGCGATCCGGTTGAGGATATGCTCTAGTAGCAGGAGGTGAATGAGGAATGGTATTAATAACATGCGGTATAGGAGTACGAGCTATAGTATGTCTGGTTGTATCAAAAATATTAGAGACGCGCTCTAGTAACGAAAGAAGATCTTGTTTGTGTTGATCATTCTGAATATTTTCAACAAGAGAGTGTAGATGTTGTGTTACTATAGGATTATGTAATTCCTTCGAGGGTAACACAGTTTCTGTTACAAAAGAACTGGTTCGATTAGTACACGTACTATTATTGTTGCTTAATTTCGATGAACGATTACTAGAATCGCTATTTATTGTCAAGTCATTAGATACTGGAGTCATACCAGTACGTCTGGTAGCTCCAAAAAAATGATGGTGCGATGAATAAAAGGTACGAGGATGTTGAAACATAGAACAACACAACAAATACCCTAGACATGTACCTTTTCGTATGACTTTTGGAAATCTCTTGGTATTATATAATATAAGATCACTACGATAATTTTGAAAGTTAAGATGTTTGTTCTTATTGTCAACAAGTACGTAAGTTTTAAATGAAGAAGCTGGAATAAATGGTAAAGAAATAGATGAAATAGGAATGGCAACTGGAATTTTTCGTGTGGAATTAGAAGAAAGTAATACCGTGGTAGAAGAAATAACCGGTATTCTAATAGATTTTGTTACATTAACGATCGGAACTACAATATGATGATTATGTAACTGAATAGTAACCATCTGTTTCTGAACATTTATATTCATATTATATTTATTAATGTAATCCATGCCTATTATCATATCTGTACATAAATGTTGAGCTATGTAAGCTTTTATCGGAGTAAAAAAATTATTAAATTCAACCGATAAATCTACTGATCCAAGAACATTAAATGATGCAATACCGTCAGCTAACAAAAAAGAAGATGATTGCTTTAGTATAGAATTCATTGGTACTAAATGATGTAGAATTTGATTATTGATGAAGGTTTTGGTGGCTCCGGTGTCTATTAAGATTTTAATTTTATGTTTATTTACCAAAGCGTATATAAAAATTAAAGGAGGCTTTGATGGATTTAAAAGCATATTCCCGGAGTCAACACCATCGTACGATGACTCCTTTACTGAAAATTTGGGCATGACGAAGCGTCATGTCCCATAGAATTACAGAGATGACAAACTACTGTTGAAAGAGAGTCAAGATTATCATCATGATTATGTGGTAAGGTTGATGTAAAAACTGCATTAACTGAGCGAGAAGTCGCTTTATTATCAGGTTGTGCAAAACTTTTATGTGGTTGTATATTTTTCTGCTTACGACTACCTGTATTATCATTGTACTTATTTGTTGATAAAGAATGACGTGGTGACTGATAATAATAATTCGAGTTAGAAGCCTGTGTTCGATTCTGTTTAGATACATAATTGGGATCAGATGTATAGTTAGATGATCCTTGATAAGCACGAAAACTAGTTCGTGGTATTGAACGATAATTACTGTTAGTACTGTTGGAAAACTGTACGGAAGTGGCACTCGAAGTATTGTCACTCGTAGAAAAAGTTTTTGGTTTAGAAGCAGAACTAATAGTTGTATTTGTACTGATGTTAGATAACTGTAATAGTTCTTCTATTTCTTTTGCATGCTCAAGAAATTCAGCAGGTGTTTTTGGCTTTTTTTTGCGTATCTCTAGTTGCATGCTAGGCTTTACTTTGTTTAATAAATTTTTCAATTTAGTCGACTCGCTCATGTTAGGATCAGCCTTCTTACATAAGTTTAGAACTTCATTAAAAAAATTACGGACAGATTGTTTCTCCCCTTGAGTATATGACTCAAGGGTTTTAAACGCTAGCTCTTCCGAAAAAGACGAAGTAAAAGCTTTTTTAATTTCTTGAACAAATTTATCCCAACTAGTTAATACTGATTGGTTATTACGAAACCATTGACAAGCATCTCCTCTTAGAGAATAAGAAATGAGATCGAGCCGATTCGTATCAGGAACATGTGCAATGTGCATCAAATGATCAATATCCTCTAACCATTTTGTCACGTCGTCCTTATTACCACGAAAAATCTTTGGATTTCGTATAAAATCTGCTACGATAGCTTTGCGTAAATCTGTTATCACTGGATCTGATGGTAAACGATTAATTGTTGAAGTATTTCCAGATAAGTTAGAGTCTGACACATCACCACTCGTTGTGGTGGTATCATCAATAGCAAGCTTACTATAAGAAGAAACGGATGGCTGTGACAACTGAGTAGCATCAGTTATATTCGCAACATTTAATTTAGAATCTGTTGTTATGTTACTGATGCACATAGACTCTTTCGCAAATTCAACTTTATGATTAGTTTGACTAGGTTTAGAAGTACTGACTGTTACTGGAGTTGAATCGAAATGTGTTAGTAGAAATTCATAAAAATCATCAAAAGATTTTATGGCGTGACGATTTTTGATATATTTGCGTTTCGCATCGCCTTGTACTAAAAGAGGTATAGCTTGAAAACGAAGTTTACGTGAGATCTTGAAGCGATGAAATAAGGCGTCAGTCTCATCTAACCATTGATTGATGGGTTCTGCTCCCGAAAAAGGAACGAAGTTCTCACAAATAAATGTATCAAATAGATTATCATCTTCTTGTTCATCACTTGTATGATCTTTCTGATGAGATTGATTATGAATTAAATTCGGTATTACTGAAGTATCTTGTCGATTATCACACAAAACATGATCATCTTCGAAAGCAGTATTGCTTTCGGTAGCTATAACAGTATTCATTACTGAGCTGTCCTCATTACTACAGGATTGAGTTTTAGTAGATGGTAATAATTTATCTGGTCTGTTCGGTGTAGGAATAATATCCATGCGCCGTGTCATTTTTGAAAAAGAACTAGGTTTCGATGCTGGATTAAATGTTGATGTTAATATTAAATTTTCTGAATCTGTTGGTAAATTAAGTGAACCTAATAACTCAGACTTCTGCATCTTTAGAATGTTGGTTAGATATGTATTTCTGACAATATATAAATGAATACGAAAAAGAAAAGAATCAAATAGAAAAAATAATATAGATAGGGGTGAATAGAACAAGCAAATATATCTATATATGATGTAACGATATAGAAACGACAAGAGAAAAAAAAAATCGGATGATGGTATAGTTTCGAAAAAAAAAAAAAAATATATATATATAATAATGGTCGTTTTTTAATAATAAATTTTAACTTCTCCACCAATTGTTAGCTCTGTAATAGGGGATGATCTTACTGAGCTGAACTTCTC